TTGATGAATGTATAATAGTTAACTTTACAGACATAGGAAAAACCCTGAGAACTAAAAGTTCTCAGGTAGATGTCATAGTCTCTGACTGCATACATCTATAATTGAAGAATAATAATAATAATAATAATAATAAGTAAGCAGATATATAAGTTAAAATTACTCACAGAATTGAAATTAATTCATTCTATTTTTCACATTTTCTATTTGAAGTTCTATAAGTAATACTCTGAGACAGAGCTGTCTCAGCTAAATGATATTAAGATTGAGAGTGATACTGAATATTTTATGAAGAAAATATTGAATAAGTGAATATATTATAGTAAGCTTCAATATCTTATTAAATGAGAAAATTATTCATTATTAGAGAATTTATAAGAACTGCTTAAGTATTTGAAAAATACTGAGAAAGAGATTATAAGCTATAAGACAGCTAGTAGAGATCACTCTGTTATATATTAAAGATATTAAATAAGAAATACTACTTAAGACTTCTTATTTTTCTCAAAGAGTTTTTTTAGAGATGATCTTACAGTAATAAGTCAGTATCTTATAAGCTCTGTAGCACTCTTCTTCTATTTTCTCTTAAAGAGTTTTTTAGAAGTTTAATAAGACTATACAAGTGTAAAATTCCTGAAGTAATTAATAAGAAAAGAAAGAGATATTTAAAATTAATAAAAAAGATTAATATTATCAATCTGCAGATCACTGCTATTCTAATAAGACTGCAGTCTGCTGAAAAAGTAAAAAGAGAAATCAGAGCCTACTTATTAATAATCATATCTTTATCAAACTCATTCTTCACTATTGAAGTCTTCAGTATTAGTATCTTTATCTGCTGAGAAGTTAGTACTGCAGCACTGTAGAAGAGTATAAGAAATGTATGAAATATTAACTTATTAACTTATAAAACATCTCAGTTATCTGTTTCAATTGAAGTAAGATTCTCTTCAATCAGTGATTAATCTCTGCAGTACTTTTAATAGTAGTGTTAGCTAACTTCTTCTTAAGATCAGTTATTCTGAGATGTTTTTTCATCTCAGAGATTTACATTTTCACCTTCTTTTATAGATAAGTAAGAGAGATCTTCTCAGTCTTGATAGAATTCATCAATACTTAAAGCTCTGAGACTCTTACTCTGTACTGCTTAAGCATCTGACCTTCTTATCAGAGCTGATATAATATCTTCTTGTAGAGTAGATAATACTTACAGAGAGATAGAAGTTATTATTACAGATATAACAGAAATAACAGAAATGAAAGAAGAGATAGATATATAAGATCTCTCTCTTCTTCAGCTGCTTAGCACAGTGTAGATAAGTGATGATACTGATCAGAGACTGCACTAAAGCCTTCTCATAGAGAGAAGACAAAGAAATCACAGAACTCTGTAAACTTAACTCAGCAGTATTCTGAGCAGGGCTCAAGTATACTGCAGAAGAGAAACTACAGATTAAGCTTCTCAGAGTCACTATCTTCAGAATCAAGCTCTTTTCAGATTTCTCTTCAAATGATCACACAGAGTCATACATCACTGTATTGACTGAGAGAGAGAATAGTGTTATAACAGTGATGAGAGAGATAGAAAAAGAACTGAATATAAATGAACTGACTGATAGAAGAGATAACATCTCACTGTAAAACACAGTGACTACTGCTGTAGTCATAAGAGAAGTAGAAGAAAGTATAATAATGAGAGCAGTACTCTCACAGCTTATTAATACTGCTGTCTCTATCTTTAATCTGACTTTCTTAACAGTTATGAAGACTGCAGCTGCATCACAAAGATATTTATTACTCACTAGAAAATATCAGAATAAGTCTCTTATTATCTTTTAAGAACAATGTTCTCATGCACTCACTATTACAGATGAAGAGAGAGAGAGAGAAAAATATTTCACAGAGAGAGAAGATCTTTTCAAAAAATTCTGTCACTACTGTTAGCTTTGTCTTTAAAATACATCACTTTTACAGAGAATTTTATATATAGAATGAAATATAATAAGAGATCTGTAAGTTACTTATTAACTACATTTTTTACATTTCAAATCAATATATAAGAAACTCACTTATCACATGTTTAATTTGAATAAAGATGAAAAAAGAAAGATCTATACAGTTAGTGGAAAAACTTATCTATTTCTTTGTATTATATACAGTATATATACTATCAAATCAGTGAGTAACTGTTACTATATAACAAAGATAATTTCTAATTCAGTAATCTTAAGAACATCAGAACTATACTTTTAAAGAGAAGAGTATTGTTATATTTCTAACTATATCAAGACTCTGCTGTGATTTCACACAGCTCATTACTTTCATATGAATAATTTTATTCTATCTGAACTGGTTTTCAACTACTTTATAACATTATTTAAATATATCATAGAAAGATCTGATTAATGAATATAAGAATCTCACTTCTATATAAGATCAGCAGATTACTCTTTCTTAACAGTGAGATACTGCTGAGATATTACTTCAGTTATTCTTGCTCATGAAATGAAAGAAGAGTATCAGCTCATTATCTATATAAAATAGCTAGATGCTGACTCTTCATTAAAGAAGTCAGTGATTCATTTTTCTTCTACTGAAATATATATAAGAGTTACTGTGTTTCTTATATAATCTTCTTAGTATACTAAGTATTATATCTGTGATATTCTCACAATAACTCTGTAGTCTATGAGCTCACTATTCAAGTAAGATAGTCAAGCTCACTTATACAGCTTTTCAAACAACTATCTCTACATGATACTGTTAACTAGTCACTGCTTCAGTTCTGCTATGTTACAAATGCAATCAATTGATACATCTGACAGATTTCATTCATATCTTATTTTCAGAATAAATACTTTCTGTGCAGACTATTATTGAATGAACTACAGCTATTTTGAATATAAAATCATTTCTATTAATCAGAAACAAGTGTTTAATACACTATTAAAAATATATCTACAGAATTTCAGATGAATAAGAAGATTTTCTGATGCAGTGAAATTGATAATTCTGCTGCAGTTATAATCATACAAATTTTAGAGAATATGACAATTTTCATCAGTGAATATTAAGACAGGTATATTCTAATTATATATATTAAAGTATATATTAACTAATTTATATATAAAACTCATAGAAAACTAAATATATTGAAATAGAAATAAGTTATATCAGAACTCTCTATATCACTGAATACTCTATATTACAGATCTATCTTTTGTCAGAAGTGTATCTGAAAATTTTATCTTTTTTCATATCTTCTCTCATGTATCTTTCATTATACATCTTTTTTTAACTGTCAGAGTATTCTGAATTGTCTCTGTAAAATCATCTCTGATAATTTGTTAATATTCAGAAACATCACTTATAAGATTTCAAAATATCAGAATATCTTATTATTGCAGTATAGCTTCAGTAGAATTTTCATTTGTATCAGTATTATCAAATATTTTGACTTGAGTTGTCAGATTTGCATATATCTCTATTTTTCAGAATCAGTTTCTTATTTCTCAATTCAATGTTTTTCAAACTGATGTTAACTTACATTTCATATATCATTATTCTCACTCAGAGAATTGATCAAAGCTGATGATTTCTCATACTCAGTAAAAAATCAAGAAGAACTTTTCAGCAGTAAATAAATTATAAAAATAGTCAAAGATTATCAACTCTTTATAGCAGTTATACAATCTGATTATCACTGAACTTTCTCTGCTTTTTATCTTCTTTCATTGAATATAATTCTATATCAATAAATGATTAGCTAAGTTGATCAGACAAGTTTTAATATCTCACTAAAAAGTTTAAATTTGTCTAAGATTCTCTGCTGAAAAGTTGATATATTTCAGCAGAGATTTAAGTTATCTCATTGAGAGTTATTATATCTCACTGAAAGTTTGTTATATTCTAGCAGGAATTTAAGATATCTCACTGAAAGATCAAGATATCTCATCAGAGACTTGATATATCTTGCTGAAAAGTTGAGATTTTTACTAAGATCTGAAATACTGAAAATACTTGTCTTCATTTCTTTCAATGTTCTTGACTTCTGTAACGTGACGGAACCGAAGCGGTGGCTAGTTGGCGGCATCATGTAGAGATAGTTGTTTGAGAAGCTGTATGAGTGAGCTTGACTATCTTGCTTGAATAGCAAGCTTGTAGGCTACAGAGTTATTGCAAGGATATCACAGATATGATACTTAGTATACTAAGAAGATTGTATGAGAAACACAGTAACTCTTATATATATTTCAGTAGAAGAAAAATGAATCACTGACTTCTTTAATAAGAAGCCAGCATCTAGCTATTCTATATAGACAATGAGTGAATACTCTTCTTTCATTCTATGAGTGAGAGTAGCTGAAGTGATATCTCAGCAGTGTCTCACTGTCAAGAAAGAGTAATCTGCTGATCTTGTATAGAAGTGAGGTTCTCATATTTATTAATCAGATCTTTCTATGATATATCTGAATAATATTATAGAGTGATTGAAAACCAGTTCAGATGAGATGAAATCATCTGCATGAAAGTAATGAGCTATGTGAAATTACAGCAGAGTCTTAGCACAGCTGAGAGTGTGATAATACTCTTCTCTTTAAGAGCATAGTTCTGATGCTCTCAAGATTATCAGATTGAGAGTTATCTTTGTTATATAGCAACAGTTATTAACTGATTAACAGTATATATACTGCATATGATATAAAGAAATAGATAAGTTTTTCTGCTAACTATATAGATCTTTCTTTTTCCATCTTCATTCAAATCAAACATATGATAAGTGAGTTTCTTATATATCAATTTAAGATGTGAAAAATGTAGTTAATAAGTGACTTGCAGATCTCTCATCATATTTCATTCTATATATGAAATTCTCTGTAAAAGTGATGTGTTTTAGAGACAAAGCTAACAGTAGTGACAGGATTTTTTGAAAAGATCTTTCTTCTTTATGACACATTTTTCTTTCCCTCTCTCTCAATTGTAATAGTAAGTGTATGAGAGTATCATTCTTGAAAGACAATAAAGAGCTTATTCTGATGTTTTCTAGTGATCAAATGTCTTTGTGATGCAGCTGCAGCCTCTGTGACTGTCAAGAAAGCCAGGTTGAAGATGAAGACAGCAGTGTCAATGAGCTGCAGAAGCACTGCTCTCATTGTCACATCTTCTTCCTCTTCTACATCTCTTACAGCTGCAGTGATAGTAGTCATGCCTTGCAGTGAGATGTCATCTCTTCTGCTGACTGATTCATCTGTGTCTGGTCTGTTTCCTGCTCTCTCTGCCGCTGTTGCAACGCTGTCCCTCCTCTCAACCAACATGATGGCATATGACCCTGTGTGGTCATTCAGAGAGAACTCTGAGAAGAGCTTGATTTCAGAGACAGTGACTCTGAGAAGCTCAATTCATAGTTTCTCTTTCATGACACACCTGAGCCCTGCTCAGAATACTGCTGAGTTGAGTCTGCAGAGTCTCACAGTTTCTTTATCTTCTCTCTGTGAAGAGGCTCTGATGCAGTCTCTGACTGACACTGTCACTTTTCTGTACTGTGCTAAGCAGCTGAAGAAGAGAAGGATTTTATATATCTATCTCTTCTCTCACTCTCATTGTTTTTATTATATCTGTAACAACAACTTCTATCTCTCTGTAAGTATTATCTCACAGAAAGACATCATATCAGCTCTGATAAGAAGCTCAGATACTTAAGCAGTACAGAGCAAGAGTCTCAGAGCTTCAAGTATTGACAGATTCTGTCAAGACTGAGAAGGTTCTTCTTACTCATCTGTAAAAGAAGGTGAAAGCATGAGTCTCTGAGATGAAAAAACATCTCAGAATGACTGATCTTAAGAAGAGATCAGCCAGCACTGCTGTTGAAAGCATCACAGAGATTAATTACTAATTGAAGAGAATCTCACTTCAGTTAAAGCAGATGACTGAGATGCTTTATAAGTTAATAAGTTAATAATTTCAGTATCTCTTATACTCTTTTATAGTATATATGCTCTTCTACAGCATGCTTCTCTGCAGTACTGCAGCACTAACTTCTCAGCAGACAAAGATATCAGTGCTGAAGACTTCAATGATGAAGAATGAGTTTGATAAAGATATAATTGTTAATGAGTAGATTCTGAGATTTCTTCTTTTTACTTTTTCAGCAGGCTGTGACCTCATTAGAATAGCAGTAATCTGTGAATTAATAATATTAATCTTTTTATTAATTTCAAATATTTCTTTTCTCTAATCACTTCAGGAATTTTATACTTGTATAGTCTCATTAAACTTCTAAAAAATTCTTTGAGAGAAAATAGAAGAAGAGTGCTACAGAGTTTATAAGACATTGACTTATCACTGTGAGATTATCTCTAAAAAAATCTTTTAAGAAAAAATGAGAAGTCTTAAACAGTATTTCTTGCTTAACATCTCTGATGTATAACAGAGTGATCTCTACTAGCTGTCTCATAGCTTGCAATCTCTTTCTCAGCATTTTTCAAATGCTCAAGCAGTTCTCATGAATTCTCTGACAATGAATAATCTTCTCATTTAATAAGATATTGAAGCTTATCATAATGTGTTCACTTGTTCAATATTTTCTTCATAAGATATTCAGTATCACTCTCAATCTCAATATTATTCAGCTGAGACAGCTCTGTCTCAGAGCATTGCTTATAGAGCTTTAAATAGAAAATGTAAAAAACAGAATGAATTGATTTCAATTCTGTAGATAATTTCAACTCATATATCTATTTATTCATCACTCTTATTACTGAAAAAGATTCTAGTTATCACTCACTGAGCTTCTTATACAGTCTTATTATCTTGATATTCTTTGCTGAAAGTAATACTTGATTCTCTATCAAGAACTTCATTAAAAGATGTTTTCAATTATAGTATTTCATCTGCTGCTTCTGAGTGCAGTGAATACTTTTCACTGTCTTCTTATGAATTTTATTCAAAAGTTTCAATCTTACTTTTACTTCTGATACTGAGAAGTACTCTGTTCTCTATATCTGTTCAATATTCTGACTGTCTATCTCTCTCTTTGAAACATTGTCTGTGATGTCACTGAGTAATGAAGGATTATATTCATAATAAGTATAGAAGAGAGATATCTTTAAGATTACATTCTTTACATTGTTATATATGAATTCAGTGATCAGAAGATGTTTAAGCCAATTATTCTGATAATATGAATAGAACACTTGAAGATGCTGTTCTAGTGTCTGATTCTGATATTCAGTCTGATCATCTGTCTGCAGATGAAATGCAGTACTGAGAAGACATCTTATCATAAGATGATAGTAAAAAGTCAATCAGTATTTGCTGATGAAGAGGAATTCTCAATCTGTTATTAACAATTTCAGAGCACTGTGATCATGAATGATGATATCTAAAAACAGATCAGTCAATTCAGAGGCTTTAATCTTTTTATAAGTAGAGATATATTTGATCATCTTTGTGAAACAGTCAATAATAACCAAAATTGAGTCATATTCTTTGACTCTTATCAACTTCAACAGATCAACTATGAAATTCATTAATAGATTCTGTCATGAGCTCTTTGAGACAGGCAGTGATATTAACTCACTGTATTACTTATACTGTGAGATCTTTATTCTTTAACAGATATTACAAGTCTCAACATACTCTTTGACATCTGTTCAGAGCTTGTTCTAAATATATTTATATTTTAGAAGCTTCTCAGTCTTCTCTAGTCTGAAGTGTTCTGTATGAGAATCATTATAATGAATTCTCAATAACTTCTGATGCACTGCTCTGCTATAAGAGATGAAGACTGAATTATTCAGCAGTAGAAGTTCATATTCTTCTAGTTATCAGTGACTTGATTTCTTAGCAGCACTGTTCTGCTCAGAGTCTGTCTCTTTCAAGTTCAAATCAGATTCTTTCTTCTTCAACTTCTGAATTTAAGCTACAGTAGAGATGTCTCTCTTCTGTAACTTATCAATGAATTTCAAAAGTAGTCAGATTGAAAGATTGTAGACTGTTTCATTCTTTGTCAATTCAATGATAGTAAGATATGATATGAGAAGCTCATAATCTTCAGTGTCAGTCTTCTACAGAGACTCAGATTTTCTTCCATCTTCTATACTGAGTTACACAGCTGTCTTACTGACACTGTTTCTGAGCTTCAGAGAATCTCAACTCTCTGCAGTCAGCTTCTTCTGCAGTGATGACAGAGATTCTTTTGTAGAATTCTTCTTCACATTAATAATATTATAATCAGATTATCTAGACAGTGTGTCAGTGAGGTTAAGCTGATCTGAATAATATTGAATATAGAAATCATACTCTGAAAGCAGCTTCACTCACCTGGCTTGATGTTCTATCAAGCTCTTTGTTATCAAGAAGTAATACAGATTTGTATAATCAGTGAGAACTTGCACTGAGTACTTACTACTCTGGAGATAATATCATCAGATCTTAAAGAATTTGACAATTACTAACATCTCTTGATCATGAATATCATATCTTCTCTGCATGAGTGATAACTTCTTGAAGAAGAAGATCACTGATCTTTATTCACAGTGTCTTATAGACTCTGTGAAAAAGCCTTCTCTCACAGATATTTCATTGCCTGTATTCTCAGAGATGATTATTCTCTGATTCTTTCAATGTTGAAAGGTCTCTGATGTCAACTGTGAAAAGATTTCACAGACTTCATTTTCAGATGCATCAGTCTCACACTGACTGAGTAAGTCAGAGTTAAAATGATTCAGTATTGTGATATCTGTAAAAGCTTGTTTCAATTCTGCAAATGCCTGCACAGTATCTTGAGTGAGAGTAAACAGTTCTGTTTTTCTATCTTTCACACTTCTCTTTAACAGATCTGTAAGGAGGGCAGTAATCTGTGAATATGTATAGATGAATTATCTGTAGAAATTTGTAAATTTTAGAAACACCTGTATCTTGTAGTATGTCTGCAGCACTGGCCAGTTCTCAATAACAGAGACCTGGCTTCTATTCATTGAAATGTCATTCATCTCAATAATATAATCTAAGAAATCAATCTTCTGTATGTAGAATAAGCATTTTTCAGTGTTTATATAGAGTTAATACTGTCTCAAGTGACTTAACACTTCTCAAACATAAGTATCATGTTCTTTCTCTGTTTTTGAGAAGATTAGAATGTTGTTCAGATATACTATACAGAAGATGTTGACAAGGCCTCACAGTGTCTTATTTATATAGATCTGGAAGATGGCTGAAGCATTACAAAGATTAAAAGATAAAACAAGATATTCAAAATTGCTGTACTTGGTATGAAAAGCTGTTTTTTAAACATTGTCTTCATTAACTCTGATTCTATAATAGACATTCTGTATATCAATCTTGATAAATACCTTTGCTTCAGATAATTGATCAATCATCTCATCAATTAACAGTAATAAATAGTAATTCTTAACTATCATTTTATTAAGACCTCTGTAGTCTATGTATAGATGTAGTCTACTATCTTTCTTGAACACAAAGAGTATAGACATCTCTGCTGAACTCTTTGATAAGTGTATTCAGTTCTTTAATTGCACTTCTTCAAGATATTTATACAGAATATTCAATTTCTTTATAGATAAGTTGTACAGAGATCTGTACAGTGCTGTTGCACTGTCTTCAAGATAAATCTTATATTATATCTTGATATCAGGAAACTTCACTGCTTCTCTTTCTGAAAAGATATTCTTATAATCTGTAAAGAGATGTTGTGTACATTTATCTTCAATGATAAATACTGCTGCTAATCTTATAGTGAGAGTGATAGCTTTTTCATCTGTTCTCAAGTCTCAGTCACCTGCTATACAGTATATTGACTCTATCTTTTTCTCAAGATTCTTCTGATGAAACTCTTCAGATTTCTCTATCACTGTCTCTTCATTAGTGAGATAATACTGTCACATCTGAGTGACTCAGTCAATGAGAGAATTGTTTTCTCTTAATCACAGAAGATCTAGAATGATGTTCTTATCTATAATATTAACTGTGTGAAGAAGCAGACTGCTCTTCTTGAAGATTTCTTCTAAGTCTGTGATCACATACTTCACTTAGATTATACTAAAACAGTGATATTTCATTTCATTGATAAATTTCATATAATCTGACAGGCCTATCTTCTTTCAATTCTTCATCAAAGAAAAGAAATAGAATATGAAGTTAACATTCACTCTAAAGTCAAGTAGACATCTCATTGATATCTTCTTATTCAGAGTATACATTGTGATTGTAACATGAACTCAGAGATATGAGAATTATCAATTCTTCATTTCTTTCTCTTCTTTATCTTTCACAGATACATTTGTCAGAAGAGGAG